CATAACCCAACTAGTATGGCATGATGAGATATGAGTTCCTAAACTGTTGAAAAAGTCAGCAGGTGCGCGCAAGGATTCCGCAACGGGCCACTGCTAAGATTTAGGAAAGGGCAGGGCTACGAATTTCGAAAGGCGGTTGCTTTATTCCGCTTCTGCCGTTGCCGTCCCGATCCCCCGTTCGTCGATATCCAATCGGACGGCGAGCAACTGCGCGAATCCCTCTCGCCTCCACCTGGCCCTCGCGTCGCCGGCCGCCACGACGACCAGCTCGCTCGCCTCACGTCCGTTCTGTTCTGTCCTCCTGCAGAGCCTGTCCACCACCTCCATTCTCCACTTCTACCTCCCCCAACCGTCTCTCCCCTCCCCTCCTAAAGCCTCCTCCTTGCCGCACCTCATGCCTTGACGACGCCATTGGTAGCTTCGCCTGTTGGTCGGAGCGCAGGGGAAGCGAGAGGGAGGAAGGCGAGCGCTAGGAGGAGGGAGGAGGTCGCGGAGCAGTGGCAAGATGTTCGACAGCTTGCTCAACTCCAAGTTCTACAACAAATGGTACCGAAAGATTGCCTTTTCTTCTCTAGGTTTCTTGGTTCTCGGCTTGCTCTGTTCCCGGTCTCCGTAGGATTCGTTCCTTCTCGCGGCTGCTGTTCCTCGGACGATTCTACTCGGGTTCTTTGGTTTCTTGGATGGATAGTTTCTTCGCTGGGTTTGGATTTCTGTTTTCTTTTTCTGCCTTTTCTTCGCTTTTATTTCTCCGGGATGTGATGCTGAATGCGGTTTCCCTCCCCCATGTTCGCGACGATTTGGTTGCGCTTGCCTGAACGGGAAAAGCGGCTTCTGTTCTTGGGTTGGGCTAACCAATCTTTGGTTTGTTTGTCTGTTCCACGACGGATGCAGTAAGCACGCCTTCAAATGCATTCGGACACGGATGGCTCCGATAAGGCGGAAGAAGCACGCCATGATCCGGTTCCTGAAGAAGGACGTCGCCGACCTCCTCGCCAATGGCCTCGACACCCACGCCTTCGGAAGGGTATGTTTCTTTTCTTCAGCCGGGCGCTCTGTTGTTCAACGTTGCTTATGCATCGCTCTAGAGTCGCGAATGGGTTTTGTTCTGGGGAAAAAGCGAGTTGGGGAGTCTTGTCTAAGGGGTTTAATTGATGGATTTTACCGGTTGGTGGTTAACTTGGTGTAGTGTTTTCTGTTTCCTGGCATTAATTGCTATTTGGAATGCAGATGGATGGCCTGATAGTTGAGCTGAACCATGCTTCTTGCTATGATATGATCGAAGGGTTCTGTGATTACATTGGGAAACAACTGGGAAGCCTTCAGAAGCAGAGGTAAATATAATCAGCTCAACTAACGTTTCTTTTTTGTTTCCTCATTTCTGTTGTCAACTATTAACAATCATGGTAACATTGAGGAATTAATCTATGGAACACATTGTTAATGGCCAAGAGTGTTGGTTATGAGCCTTATGGCATACCACCCCATGTCTGTCGGGGCTGGCTGCGATGCATTCTGTTAAGTAATCAAGACAGTAGTTCAGTAGCGCTAGCATTCATAATACTTCTGCGGTGTATGTTTGGTTTTTGGTGTTAGTAAAAGTATTCGTCGTAGTTCAGTTAGTGAATTCCATGTTTCCCACTACCGTTTAGAAGTATGCAAAGAGTGCAAACAGAAAAGTGTTATCTTGATGCTCAAACAATGAACACATTTGTTTTGTGTTTTTCCTTTCCAAACAGGGAATGCCCCCCAGAATTCAGGGAAGCTGTGTCAACCCTGATTTTTGCTGCTGCTCGGTATCCTGATTTACCTGAACTTTGTGACCTAAGGCACATATTCACAGAGAGATATGGAAATTTTGTTGAGCATTTTGTTAGCCGGGAGGTACGCAAGATGATGCTAATTTATTGTTATTGAATTGTTTTATGCTTTTTGTGGTTCTATACATTACATATTCACAGTATTATCAATCCTTCTGTCTGCAGTTCATTCGGAAACTTGACAGTACAGTGTTCACTAGTGAGGAAAAGTTGCAAGTCATGCAAAGTGTTGCTGAAGAATTATCCGTTAGTTTTGATGCCAAGGAATTGCAACTCAAGTTATGGGCCACACCGGAAACAGAACATGTAAGTGCTCCACAAATTTATTACCTGTTTTCTCAAAACAAATTTATTACCTGAACTATGATGTAGGCACACAAAAATGTGTCCTTAACTTGAAATCATGTAATGTGTTTTCCACTGTTCCTTAGGATATGCTTGAGAAGGGTTCAGGGAAGCCAGCAGAACTACCAATGCCTTTATCCAGCAAGCAGAGATGCGTTGAGGATGCTCCATATGAAGAACAAGAGGATATCCTTGAGAAGAGTTCGAGGAAGCCAGCAGAACTAGCAATGCCTTTATTCGACAAGACAAAGTGCGATGGGGATGCTCCAGGTGAAAGAAAAAATAAGGATATGCTTGAGAATTACTCAATCAAGCCCGTAGAACTAGCAACTGCTTCATCCAACAAGCAGAAGGTTACTGAGGATGTTCCATGTAAAAGAAACTATGATGCTGAACCTGCACACCATACTGAGAAAGTGGAAATACAGTTGATCCAAAAGGATATTCAAGCTGTTGCTGATGCACACCATACAATTGATGAGAATTCAAGGAAGCAGCAACCTGATGAGTCTGATGAGAAGGAACATTTGCAGAAACCAGTGTCTCCTGTGGACACTAACAGAAGGAACACCCAAAAAGATGTTCAGAAGCTTAACAGAAGAGCTGTCCGCCCTTTGGAAAAGGAGCTGATGGAAGCAGTGGAGCTTGATCTCAATGGCCTACCTAAGAATGGATTTGGTGCAGTCCAATTTCCTGAAACAGAAGGCAACAAAACAGTTCAACTAAATGTCAACGCAAACGAGGCTGTGAGAGATTACCATATTGAAAAAGAGAATAACGAAGTCCTTCATGGTTCACGCATGCCTGGTGGTCCTGAACACAATGGTAGACATGCAGATTCAGGGCTAAGAGCTCAGCGCCCAGACAATCAAGGACGTCCAGTGAGTCCTCTTAGCGGTAACACTAGAAACAAGGTTCCTTACACTAAGCGGAATGTTGCAAACATGAAGAATGCTACTGAAAAACAAGCAAACATTGGTTTCTTGCATGATAAACAGCAGCATTTAGCTGATCTGGGATGCCCGGTGCAGAAAGGACAAGGACTGCCAGAGAGGGCAGGTACTATGCTGCCTCCTTATGTTAAACCAAAATCTAACATGCAACCTGTGAATGATGATCCTGAAAAGCGCACTCCAAGTGGTTACAGCAAGCCCAATATCCCTGGACAAACTGATCACTTGGAGAACAAAGATGTGCTTCGACCTGTTTCTGTTAGAAGGAGAACTGCAAAGCTGCCAGCACCTGTTGATGCTTATGTTGAGGTGCCTAACAATGAGAAGGTCACAAGCCAAACACCCAAAAGTCACAGAAGCCACTCAAGCAGGCAGAATGGTGCTAAATATGACCAGAACCGGAAATGCAATGGGACTGGTGATGTTGGTAGCGGGACGAATGCTCAGAGAACTCCAAGTAGCCAATCAAAGAACATAGGCAGGAGGAATAGAACTTTAAACCACAACAATGACTACAGCAGGTTGATGCAGCGTAGGCAACCTGAAGCAGATGAGACTACTATTGATTTTGGCAATCTCTTGCCACGAAATGCAAATGGACAGAGGCGACACAACAGCGGACGCAACGGAGACCTTGATGAGGAGGAAAAGATGATGGACAAGCTTTTGATGAACTATAGCAAGAAGAAAGGTTCGGAACCGACCAACAATGAAGCAAATATAGATGCTCTGCAGAAGGTTTCCTTGCATCCCCCAGGTAGAGCTATCTCGCTACCACCTGAATCTGTTGGCCCGGGTGAAGATGCGAAGGCTCCTGCTCGGTCCACCTCACTTCAGCCTGATGGTCCTAGGAGTGCTCATGTGCTCCCAAAAATTCCAGACTTTGATGAATTGGCTGCTCGGGTCAAGGCTCTGAGGAAGGCTTGAGGTGGCATAAGATGGTCTCTGGCTTGTGTACACGTTCTTTCAGCTGAAGAGTTGATCCTTTGTTGACAGTTCCTTGCAAGACACAACCACGGAGTCGTTCTTTGATGTGCAGTTCCTATAAGAGATTAAACAGATTTGTGTATGTGTTTTACTCTATTTTTTTTTCTGTTAGATTTTTTTTTACAGTGCTCTTGTTATAGGTTTTCCTTTGAACCAGGTGTTTGTGTAGAATAGGAGCACTGGTTTCAGGTTAACACGATATATAATACAGTTGATAGGGATTTTCCATTGCTTATTCTTTATTTGTTTGATAGGGATTTGATTGGATATATTGTACCTCCAAATTGCATTGCCAGATGTACTAAATTCACCAGTTCATGATGGAATGTGTGTAAATGATGATAAATTCTCAGGGATACTTTCTCTTCAGCTACTTAGATTTGTATGAGCGCTGTATGTTTGTGCATACTACATAGAGCTGGATTTACAGCCCTGCCGTCTGCATGGGAGATTTACTTTTACATTCCTAGTCACCTGTACTGGCCTCCGTAGTTCTTGTCTTTTGTCATTTGCAGGAGGTACAATTTTTTGTTCGTTCGTTCGTTTGTCATGTGAGAACCATATTTTGCAAGAGGTACACTTGATTCCTACACCTATCCGTAATGCTGAATACTTTTATCTGCAAAATTTTGCCGGATTGTTGAAACTTTGTCGTTTAGATGTAATGCCTTCAGTTGAGAGGTGGCGCAGAAGGTAAAGGTTAGCATTGCAATGCAAGTTCCCTGTTACAAATTTCAAGGTGAATTTCCTCCGAACAATGGAGTCCATTTCCCCTCTCTAGCTCTAGCTAGCCAACCGAATCTACATTACATCGACCTGCTCATGTCATGGCGACGTGCATGTCATGTCGTCCATGGGCAGCATTTGCTGCGCCACCTATACTACAAGTCTACAAAGACTAGCAGAGGCAGCGCATGACGCCGACGACGAAGCTGGCGATGCAGTCCTGGCCGCGGCCGTCGCGGCCGCCGAGCGCGTCGTCCCGGACGAGGCGCTCCAGGCCCCGGTTCCTGGGCAGCGCGCCGGCGCGGTGCAGGATCGTCGCCGCCGCGACCGCCGGCCCGCCGGCCGCCACGCGCGCCGCGAACCGAACCACCGGCCTCAGGAACAGCGGGAGCAGGGCCTGCACGAGCACGAGAGTCGTCAGATAACACAAGGAAACGCGTTAGTGCGGCAGCGGTCAAAGCCGCGGCCGGCGTCGCGTCGTCAGCAGCAGCCAAGAAGACACATACAGCGCGAAGAGGCCAGACAGGCAGACCCTCACCATGAGCTAGCGATGGCTGCTGGATGGAGGCACTGCCAATTGGCAGCGAAGATGCCGAGTCCTCGAGAGCGCCGCCAGCCGGAATGCAGGCTTCGGATGTTTTCGGAATGCTTGACGGCGACGGCTCTTGGCCAGAGATTCACGGGGGTGATATATACACGGGATCGGGATGGAAGGAAGCCGGAGCCGGCAACGCATGCGTGGCGTGAGCCGTCAGAAGTCAGATGCATGCGCGTGTGTCCCCGTGGCGACGCAAATGGGTGGCGGTGGCTGCGGCACTGGTACTGGGCCGGGGGGGCGCCCACCGTGCCCGCGCGCCGGCCGGCCGCGCCGTACTACGGACAAGGAACGCGCGGCCATCATTCATCCTGGGGCTGCTGCTGAACCACCACGCCGCCCACGCCACCCTATCTCGGGGCCTGGACCTGATCTGCCTCTGCGTGCGCCGTGCAGCCCGCCCATTTCGTCACCCATCGCGTCTCCTTTTCGGCGTCCGTGTTGCTTCTGCTCCGCGTGGCGTCGCACCCCACGGCCTGCGTAGTCTAGCAGCAGGCAGCGGGGTTGTTGGTTTTCCGTCCACATTTTCCTTTTATTCTTTGGAGGTTTCGTACCGTCTTCTTCACCAACAAAAATGCAAGATCATGGATGGGTGTACTTGGATTGGATAGATATACATGTACGGTGTACCGTCCACGTACGGTGAAGGAACGTCCAAAATGGAAGTATGGAAAAACTTTGGATAAGTATGCAACAGTCACATGATCAATGCTGAAGGAATATCACCTTTGGTTTGGACAACAAGAAACAATTTCTTGCCTGCACTCCACAGTCCACACACAGGCAGAAACCCCAACGGCCCACAAAATAGCACATTCTGGGCCGAAAGAGGCCATACCACGAACAAGAGACCATTCTCAGCCCACTATACAACACACAGGCCGCCATGGCCCATCAGCCCATACCAGAAAAGGCCCGGCCCGGGTTCCCCCGACCGAAAGATTCCCACGGGCTCGCCGCTCGCGTCTCGCGCACGCAGCCTCCGTGCATATCACTCGCCTCCTCGCCCGTCTCCTCTCGCTCTCGCCCTCGCGCACCCGATTCCGCTCGCCTTTCCCCACCAACTCGCCGTCGCGGCGCTCGCCAGCCTAGGGTTTCGCCCCCTCGCCCGCCGATCCGCCCCCGCCGGCCATGTCGAGGCAAGGTGCGTTCGTCTCGTCGTTTCCTCTCTTCCCTCTTCTGCGATCGGGTGGGATCGGGTTGTTGTTTGGTGTCGATTGGTTGGTTTTTTTCTCGTTCTCGAGGGTTCTGACGCGACGGCTGGGTTTTGCTTTGCAGGAGGGAAGGCCAAGCCGCTGAAGGCGCCCAAGGTCGACAAGAAGGAGTACGACGAGGTATGTTGCTACGCGTTGGACTTTGTTCCCGTTTCGTTGCTCGATTGGTTCGTTGCCCCGAATAGCGATCTGCGTCTGCGTCTGTGAAACGCCTAACCATAGGGTGTGGGCGGTTGACTGGTGGAGCCCGTCTTCGTGTTTTAGATCGGTTCATGTTCCGTGCTTAGTTCGTAGTTAAAATCCTGCAGAAGGGGAATTTGGCGAATGGTATGTGGGGTGTCAGAACTTGTGATAATTGGGCTGTCATGTAAGATGTGCTCTTGACGTATTTTTAGCAGATGTGCACGATAGTGGATTCATCATGTAAAACAGCTAGGACAGCTTCAAAAATCTGCAACTGACCATCTTTTTTCTTCTGTCGTGCTGTAAAACGCTGGTCGCTGGATGTATTCATGACTCTCCGTATTCCAACTACTGGCCCGAACTTGCTCTGAAACATTAATCAATTGTTTTTTACGGTCCAGTAACCAATTGTTTTGGAATATAGTTTTCAGAACTAAATTGCTTTGAATTGGCATCTCCGAACCTCGGAGTAAATGTAATGGTACAGAGGTAGCTATGCGAGTGGTTGTTTTATATGTTTGTATGGTTGTCTAGTTCAACATAGATGAATACCTTAGGTATTTTGATGAATGGTTGTCTTACCACATTAATGAGGGAGGATGGAATGAGCATGTTTGTATGGTTGTCTAGTTCAACATAGATGAATACCTTAAGTATTTTGATGAATGTTGTCTTACCTCATATTAATGAGGAGGATGAATGAGCATCTGACTTAGATGATGGTCATGCCTTCAAAATTATGAGCAATTCCTTCTTACTTGGAGAACTAGTCAGTGAGCAATCAGTAGAAGGTGTAATTTGAGCAGCTTCAGTGATCAGTCCACAACTGATGTCTACTTGACATTATTCTGGTATCCTTTCTGTGCAGAGTGATCTTGCTTATTTGCAGAAGAAGAAAGAGGAGGAAAAGGTGAGACATTGTGGTCAATTTTATCTGGTATCTTGTTCTATTCTGCTTGGGTGGAAGATCCTAATTTGCTGCCATTTATTTATTGTATGGTTTTTGCACCAACAGGCACTGAAGGAGCTGAAGACCAAGGCACAGAAGGGCGCAATTGGAGGCTCGGGTCTCAAGAAAAGTGGAAAGAAATGAGCCTGGCCACCTTCTCTGTGTTGTGCTTCACTATATGCGATTGTAACAGTGCTACCTATTGTGTTCTGTGTTTTGCAATGTTGCAGTTGGTTGCTTGATCAGAAGATGTTTCAGCCTCTCATCTGCTAGCTATGGTACTGATGGTTTCCTGATAATAATGATGACATATTCTGTAATGGATGCCACAAGACAAGTTTCTTGCATTTAAATCTCTCAGTTTCTTTATAGTTTTACATGATCCCAACTAGGAATGGAAAGTCACTCTGTTGGCCTTGCCCGCACTCAAGTGAGAATCTAAATTTTCCCAATTTTCTGTGAAGATTACGTACACCAGCAGGGTCTACGTTTTGTGCTCTATCAATAACATCTTCAGTTCAGATACTGACCATCCCAAGTGCCCATTTATTCCAAGTCTAAACATAGGTTCTGTGCCCGTTCTGTTTGTTTAGGCCACGTTATTTAAGTAAGTTGCCCACTTTAAAATGGTATTTAAGTAAGTTGCCCACTTTAAAATGACTTATTTGGAAGTCTTAGGACAAAATGCACTTTGCATCCCTAGCACACACATGTTTTGGGTAGTTTTACAGCTCAGGTTTTGTTCGTGTTTACCTACTCCTAACAAGCTGATCCGTTGTTTCCGTTTTGTTATACTGATCAGCCAAACCATGTCTTGTCTTCGTTTTGTTATACTGCTCAGCCATTCGCTCTTGTACACGAGACGGCTTCCGCTCTTGTACACGGAGACGAGATCGCTCTTGTACACGCAGACGACAAAGTCGAGTTACAGCACTGCCTTGCAGTAGCACGACTGGCATTAGTAGAGTCAGCCCCTTTGATGGCAGGACAACCACTACCGCCAGTAGCTCTTCGCGTCCCAACACCTCTCATGCCCAAATTGCCAAACTAGCCAACAACACGTTGTTACATCGATCGAGGGTGGTGACTAAGGAACTAACGGAGCCTACTGCATTGGTGGTGGAGAGAAGAAATACACTAGCACGTAAGTAGAATGAGTTCACCCTTTCCAAAGTCTTTATACACCGAGAAGGTTCTCAAAGACAGACTTACCCCCTAAGTGCAGGACGTTCTTAGGCCATTTATAGCGGGATAATACAGTCACTTCGCTAGAGGGAAGTAGACAAGCAGTCATTGAAGCCTGTCGATCGAAACCTGATTATGCCGTCAATGCCGGGGCCCTACACTCCTAATGCTTGCTTCTTAATTTCATTCTTAGTTTAGTTTCTTTTACATACATGTGTGATGTCTAGGATAGTCACATTCTTGATTTCCAGGTACAGCTCTTTAATTCCTGTGCCTAACTTGAAGCCTAGCTTGAAGACATAAGGGAGTAGTGCTTAGTCATCAATGAAGACGATGCAATCCGAAAGCATAAACTGAAAAATAATCCTGCTTGTTACATCTACAAACCATAACCAAATAGTACACGGCTACCTTTAATACAATCTACCCAAATACCACCGAGGGGCGCATCGCCATCGGAGCCATCGGCCATGCGCGCCGACCAGAGACGCCGCAGCCCAGGGGGCAAGCAGCAAGCTCCAGTCTCCATCGCGGTACCAACAACGGCCTTTATCCTCCGCTGGGCGTCATGGGTATGAGCGGCAGCATCTGTTAGCACACAGCAGGGACTAGGAATTGGAGAATATTATAGAACAGAGGATTGGATCATTGAATTTGGGGTTCCGAACTGGAATGTTTAAGAGCTCGGAGTGAAGTTTATTATATAGTTCGTAGGGGCTCCTGCACCTCCAGTTTCATAAAAAGAAGTTTATTATACAGTTTCTTAACACCCACGGCTATGGCTCATATATAGAACCACACACACGCACACCTACGGCTCATAGAGCCACACATGCACACGCGATATTGTCTTGTGGATTGGGCTTCGCTAGTTACTTCATTGCCAGCACATTGATCCACTCTGGCCCAAATAGTTTTGAGTTTTGCCTCCCGACACTGGCACAATTGTGTTCCATGTTCCTCTAGACTCTCAGTATGGTAACAGTATCACAGGCTACAGAGGCGGAGGCGGCAACGAGTCCACGGATGTCTACCAATGTTCTAAATGGCGGGATTTAGCCCCAGCTATAGCGGTATTTAGCGTTTTAGAGGGTTTGACGCTAGGCATTGAAGCATTTAGCGCTACAGGTAATTTTTCCGCTATTAGCGGCTAATAGCGCACTACGTCCGCTAAATAGAGAGGTCCTTTTAGCGCCGCTATTGGCAAATTCTGTGTGGGCTTTCATTTCCCTTCGGCCCATATCACGTGCAGGCCCAAAGCAACTTAATACACTGCCCATTGGAATGCTGTCGCACTAAACCTATCCATTCTCTGATTCCTCTCCGACATGCAATATTCCTGTATAGTCTGTATTTGGCTGCATCTAACTAACTGATTCGCTTAGAATTTTCTGTAATTGGTATTTGTGATGTCTTCAATTCTTCATCTTCCACGTTTATTGTGTTAAATTCCACTAAATTTGACGTATTTTTGCTCAACCGCAAAATGATTTAGCCCGCTATATCCTTTCTTAGCCTTTGGAAAAAACAGCCGCTAAGAGGCTTAGCCCGCTATTTAAAGCATTGATGTCTACAGAACCCCTCTCCTTCTCCTACCCTATTACCCATGGATTATCCACGCCCTGTTGGACATTACCTGTTGGTGATGGGTCATTTGCGGGTGCGGAGATGCAGTGGCGGAGCCCGAAACAAAACATTGGGGGGGCAATTTGCCAATAAACCCATAAGTACATAGATAGTGGAGAAATTAGTCTTACTAGTTACTACTTATATAATCAAGCCACACTAAATAAAATACAGTTGACTGTGTGGTCTATTTTGTCCATAAAGACCATCACATATATATACACACCCCAAAATACATGTAACATATAAATAGAACTATCGTTTGTCAAAAGTCCACTCTCCTTTTCTTTAAATCTTGAAAATCAGAAATTATGTCTTCACTATAGCCTCTTGCAATTTCACCTTCTATGTGTACTAGCAGGCTGTTAGCAAGAAATTCGTCTTCCATCTTGTTGCGTAACCTTGTCTTAATGATCTTCAATATAGAAAAGACACGCTCAGCACTAGCTGTTGAAACAGGGAGAGTAAGAAGCAACCGAAGCAATCTATCAATCAGGTTATGAGTCACATGGCGTCCTGTGTCAACAAGGCATCGACATAGCTCAGCTATGGTTGTGATATTGTCTTGTGGATTGGGCTTCGCTAGTTACTTCATTGCCAGCACATTGATCCACTCTGGCCCAAATAGTTTTGAGTTTTGCCTCCCGACACTGGCACAATTGTGTTCCATGTTCCTCTAGACTCTCAGTATGGTAACAGTATCACAGGCTACAGAGGCGGAGGCGGCAACGAGTCCACGGATGTCTACCAATGTTCTAAATGGCGGGATTTAGCCCCAGCTATAGCGGTATTTAGCGTTTTAGAGGGTTTGACGCTAGGCATTGAAGCATTTAGCGCTACAGGTAATTTTTCCGCTATTAGCGGCTAATAGCGCACTACGTCCGCTAAACAGAGAGGTCCTTTTAGCGCCGCTATTGGCAAATTCTGTGTGGGCTTTCATTTCCCTTCGGCCCATATCACGTGCAGGTCCAAAGCAACTTAATACACTGCCCATTGGAATGTTGTCGCACTAAACCTATCCATTCTCTGATTCCTCTCCGACATGCAAGATTCCTGTATAGTCTGTTCTTTACGTATTTGGCTGCATCTGACTAACTGATTCGCTTAGAATTCTCTGTAATTGGTATCTGTGATGTCTTCAATTCTTCATCTTCCACGTTTATTGTGTTAAATTCCCCTAAATTTGACGTATTTTTTTGCTCAACAGCTAAATGATTTAGCACACTATATCCTTTCTTAGCCTTTGGGAAAGCCACCTGTGGGGGTATGGCCCCTGGTATCCTCAAGACAAGACATGGCCGCACCATCAGAGGTGGTCCAGCACACAAGATCAAGGCGTGTACGGCGCTGCTCGGCGTGCACCGCAAAACATTGTATAGTTCCAAATAGAATACTTTCCTTGTAACCCTACCTCCTCCAGAGTATATAAGGAGAGGTAGGGGTTCCCTAGCGGACAAGATACATAGACGATCCATCTAGATCCATGATCCATACATCGTGTATTCAATACAACACACAAAAAACACAGGACGTAGGGTATTACGTCGATCAGACGGTCCGAACCTGTCTAAATCGCTATCTCTGCGCCTTGTGTCACCATCCGATTCCTGATTACGCGCATCCCCACCGACAAATCTATCATCACGGGATACCCCTCGGTGGACTGCCGACGATATTATGTCGACAGTTGGCGCGCCAGGTAGGGGTGTGCGTGCTGATCCATGGCGGGCCAGATGGGATCTCAAGATCGACGCCGCTCGTGGCAACCTAACTTCCCACGGCGGCGTCTTTCAGCAACCTGACGGGCTCGACATCACGGCAACGACGACTTTCCAGCAGCCTGCGACGGGACTTCACGTCTCCAGCAAACTAGATCCGATCTCGGAACCACCTCCGAGGTCGCCTTCACCAACAACTCACCGCCCGTCAGGTGCTCGTCGTCAACGCCGACCAGATAACGCCATACGTCGCCAACCAGACTTTCTGTCTAAAGCTAAGTCACGCTTTAATATTTTTCTAAATATTCTCCAATCTTCGTATATCGCCATAATGTTTCTCTGAGCTGTTTTCTCCATATTTGCACTCCAAACGATTTTTTGAACCCCTGAACAGTCCTGTTGACGCTCGGACGTCTCCAGAGACGGCCCTGTCTCTGGCTCCTCCCTACACGTGCACGAGCGTCTGCCCTCTGCGTTATGGGTGGTCGGCAGCGGCTCCTTAGCAACGCTTTGTTCTTCTTACACGTGCACAGGCTCCGCGCCCCGCGTTATGGTTAACGGGCTAGCTAGAGCTGGAGACTCGTCTACACACTAACTGTTCGGGCGGTTTATATT